CAGCAGCCCCCCTCAGCTCTTCCCCCCCCGCCCCCCCCGCTCCCAGAACCTCCCACCCACCGGCAGCCCCACTGATCAGCGCCTCCCCCTCCCTCCCCACACCTCCCGATCAGCTGTTTCGTGGCATGCAGGAGGCTCGGGGGGGCGGGGGGAGAGAAGGTGGAGGAGCAAGGGCATGGCAGGCTCAGGGGAGGGGGCAGAAAGGGTTGGAGTGGGGGCAGGGCCTATGGCAGAGCCAGGGGTTGAGCAGTGAGCACCCCCTGGCACATTGGAAAGTTGGCACCTGTAGCTCCAGCCCCGGAGTCGGTGCCTATACAAGGAGCCGCATGTTAACTTCTGAAGAGCCGCATGTGGCTCCGGAGCCACAGGTTGGCCTCCCCTGGTTTGGAGAGTACTCAATGCAACCCTAGTGCTACGCTAAAGAAACAATAACATTTTTAAAAGTGCCAAGCATGATGGTTTTTCCAGTGTGGACACAGGCTTATTGGGACCTGCCCTGAACCCATCTCATTTCACAGGCCACTGATTTCTTATCACGTGATGATAACTTTTGGTCATTACTGAGCTGGGCTGGATTTGAAACCGCAACCTAGACAGTGAAAGACTCCCTGCAATTTAACAGAGAAGCCTTTCATTTAGGTACAAGCTCTTCAGCGCAGGGATCTGTTTTCTGTGAAACGCTTAGCACACTTGATGCACTATTAAAGACCAATTATACCATCGCCACCCCAATACAAAGCTCCTGGGATAGCCAGCATCTTACTTTTTCATAAGCTTTTCTTTTAGAGCCAGACAAGGGCTCCCATGGCATTAAAATTATGGAAAATGCTACATGTTGCTGACAACTGCCTCTCTTCAACCTGGCAGCACACCTTGTCCAAGATGACTATTACTGCCTTCCTATTAATTAATTGGCAGGAAGAAAAAAAAAACCCAACAGCTGAAATGTGGGCAATCAGTAGTAGTCTTGTAGTCTTAACACACCGTTTCTACAACCTGCCTGGCTCTGTCACAGCCCAAACAGAGAGACGATGCCAAGGTTAATAAGCCATGAACATCTCACATTGCCCCCTGCTCCCCACCAATCTATTAAGGCCAACCTTAATTTTTTTATTTCCAAACATGGGTCTGGGAAGATTTGTTAGAACAATGCAAGACTTCACTGATGCAGTAATGCTTAAATTTGGTTCCAAAACACATTTATAAAGTGCCAAACAGGTGCTCAGCCCTCCACAAAACGTGACATGGTCCCTGCCCCCAAAATGCCCTATCTCAATAAAAAAGTACTCTGTTAATTAGATTAAATGAAAGACATTCCAGTGTCAACTGATCTTAATATTCTGCACTGATTATTTCTTTACACAAAATCTGCCTTCACCCGCATCTGCAACTGCTTCCATAAAGAAAAACACAAGTGCTAACACATACAATGATCTGTCAGTTTTGCAGCATTATCATTAACTCCAATGTCCTCTCCTCCAGAAAATCACTGATCATCAAGTTGGGAGCAAGATTATTATATATACACACACCTCTACCCCGATAGAACGCTGTCCTCGGGAGCCAAAAAAATCTTACCGCGTTATAGGTGAAACCGCGTTATATCGAACTTGCTTTGATCCGCTGGAGCGCGCAGCCCCGCCACCCCGGAGCACTGCTTTACCACTTTATATCCGAATTAGTGTTATATCGGGTCACATTATATCGGGGTAGAGGTGTATTATTATTATTGCATCAGAGTTAAAACATTTCCCATAACTAGTTTTCTTTCATAATAAACTAGTTTATCTGAGGCTGTCTGAACAACAGTAACAAGCAAAGACAATAGAAAGATATAGAGACTGTCCACGGAGAAAAACTAAACAGCGAAGAACACATACCAAAGGCCAAACAAAGCTGGGAGCCAACAAAAGCTTTGGAGGAGCCGAGCCCACTTCTGTATTAATAGCGGCAAACAGTACAAAATCTTGTTGTTCTAAGGCTTCAGAACACAAAATTGCTAGATTAGCAGATGAAGGACTCTATGCGAGTGATTTAAAGCAAAACCCACCTATGTAGCACTGCTATATAACTAAAAAGAAATGTCTCATTTTTTGCTGTATTTATATTTCTTTTCTGTCTCTGTCTTACAGTAACATCTAGAGACTCTATCATCATATTGGTGCCGTACACACATATAGTAAGAGACAGTCCCTTCCCTGAAAAGCTTACAGTCTAGTTAGACAAGTCAGACAAAGGAAGTATTATCCCCACTTTACAGATGGGAATGGAGGCACAGAGAGTTTAAATGACTTGCCCAAGGTCACACAGCAAGTGTGCGAGAGCCAGGGGCTGAGCCCACATCTCATGAGTCCACTGTCCTTAACCATAAATCCATCCTTCCTCTTGAGGTCCCAGGTTGATTTTATCTGCCTTCCTGGCCCTTCAAAACTGTTCCTGTTCTACAGGAAGGGAGTGTCTTTTTCAATGTTTCTCAGCTGAATTCAGCCTGCGAGATTCCAAAAAGGGACAGGTCTGTAGATATTAATTTACCTAAATAAGAATTAAGCTGAGAAGGAGAAACTAGCTCCCATGCCCCACTGTCACCAAAGAACTCCCAATTCCCAATGTGACACCACAGCTTGGAGTAAACGAGTCACAGAAGGGAAAGGAATACAGTTGTCTTTCCAGCTGCTGGCATTGTAGGGGAGACAGGAAGAAGAAAAACAGACAAAATGAAGCATGCCTCTCTGTGGAAAGTTCGAAAACAGAAAAGGCACATGCTGATAATTTAATCTTGTGAGTTCTTCGGAAAAAGGGCCGTGTTTTACTGAATGGTCGTACAGCACCAAGCACAACGTAAGTTTCTTCAGGCAGGAACCATATCTCTGTCTGTATGACGTATTCACCATTAGCACTCAACCAATATATATTAATTATCCACTGGCTGGCCAGTCTGGACTGCAATACAATCGGTTGCGTGGCAACAGTTCAAAGCAGCGGATTGGCCTAAAAAAAAATAAAAAATCCCCTCGAGTAGAAAATTCGAACAGCTATGGAAAAACAAAGGTTTTTCCAAGGCTCTCTAAGTAAATTGAATGTTCTATTGGTCCTAAAGGGAATTTAAAGGCATCAATGCAATCCCTTGGCATAGGTAAGTGTCACTTTGTCTTTACAGTACTTGAAAAGGCTGTGTAAGGTCCCTTATGAAAAACCAAAATTAAAAAACCCCAGTCAGCGGCTGTTGAAGAAAATCTCTCCCATGCCAATACAAAAAGAAAAGAAAAACAACAACAGACAAGTCCTCACCCAGTCAGACAGTGAAGTAGAACTTTAGAATTTAACATCAATTCATTTTGATTTAAATCGCTATGTTCTCATCAGAAATCAGTTCTGAGGAGTGAAAAGACACATAGGAAGATATGGGGGAGGGAGGTGTCACTGCTGAGTTTAACAAAGACTCTCTTAGCATGGCCCAGAACACACTCTCACAAACAACCCCAGGCAATACTATAGCAGAAGGATCTATAAGGTTATAGGAAACAAATCTAAGCAGCAGTTTCAATCTTCAGGAGAGGCCGTACCCTGTTTCTCAGCTCTTTCCAAAAGCTCCAGTCCTCTTTTCCTGTCAGTTTTTGGGCCATATCTTCTGTCAAAGGGGAATTTCTGGGAACTATTCCACGGGGTGGAACCTGAGAATCTGAAGGCAGCTGATGCTAAAACTTGTTCCCAGTAACCTTACAGATCTTTAGACAATGCCAATTGCAACATCAACAGGGATTGTAAAATTGGTGTTCCTCACCGATCACAGCAAACTGTCAGCACCTCCCTCCCCTGGGCGCATTCACTCTCTGAACAGCATTTCCAGATGCTTGAGAGAAAGGACAAAACTCAGAACTGTGTTTGTCTGAACCTAGCTGACCTTAAATTAAAGTATTCCTGGACCAATTAATGTATGAAGCCTCTTTATGTGTGGTTTACACACACAGCACTGGTTTTCAGAATCTGGTTTTACTGGTTTTACTTAACAGAACTGGGTCATGAACAGACTTTTGGAGCAAAGTTCACAATAGGCAGACACTGAGTTTTGACTCCCTTTAAATCAATTACATTTCAAAGGGAAGACAGCTGGCACAGGGTGGGTATAAGCAGGCTTCAGATTAAACAAAGGAAAATTGAGGCTGATTAGTATCAAGGTGGTAGCCAAGGACTGTGGGATTGTCTGTCAAAAGGGAGTAATGGAAGCCTGGGTCAAGCAAGAAACTACAAGGAAGAATCCTGCAAGGGGACAGACTAGATGATAACTTCACAAGTAACACTTCCATCCCTTGTTTCTGATTTTCTACACCCACAATTGAGTTAGGACAATGGAGAACTTTACTTTCCCTCTTTATATCTGAGCTCTCTTTTGATTTTTCAGAGGAGAAGCAAGCAGGCTTTGCAAGACAAATCTTGACACCATCATATCCCAACCACAGGTTCAGGGCATCATCCAAAACCCATGAAAGTCTACTGAAAGACTGCCATTGATTTTAAGGGGCTCTGGATAGGTCCTTAAACTTCCTATTGTTAGTTTATATGACACAGCTATTTTCAATGCCATGGCAAGTTTCCTTCTCTTGATCCAACAGAGCTTATCTTTTATTTATATTGAGAGGCTGGGTGTAGATTTAAAGCCAAGCTGATCATACCTCCAACAGAGACTACATAGTCCCACACTTCCAGAGAGTGTGAAAATGAGTCAAGCAACCAAGAAACAGGCCAGAGCTGAACAGCTGGAGCGGCAGTGCTCTGGGTCACTTGCTACAACCAAAAGTTTACGCTTAAAAGCAGTTCTATTCACAAGTAGACTTAGCCCCATCCCTCCCACTTTCCAAAAAGTCACTCAGTTACGGGATGCCACCTCTTGGAAGGTGCTTCAGTACAGCAAGGTGAAGTGAACGATCAGTGCCACTCACAAACATGACCCAGGGTTTATTGCAGAAATAAAACCTTTGCTTGTTTTGTTTTCTTTTGTTTACCAGGGTTTGTCTTCTCAAGCTGGTACCATCTGTAAAATGCCCTTTTCTTTTGTTCACTCAGGTCTGACCCTTGCTGCAACAGCCAATGAGAGATCCGGCTCTGGCTGATACCTACAAGAAAGAAAGAAAGAGAGAAAGAGAGAGAGAGAGCGCTTTTGTTCTATTTAAATTTTGAATGGATTCAGTGCTAGTGAAAGGTACTGGCTTAAGAGGCCCAGAAACTGAAAGCTAATATTTTATACATAGAAAAGGTACACGTTTCAAGCCTCCCCCACAGCGTCCCACCAGTGTACCTCAACTTTTGTCCTTTATTATTTTTGACCTGACTCAGACTCCATACCCACAGCAGGCAGCGTAGTCCAGCAGTTAGTGGAAAGTTCACCAGACTTTGGAGTGAGGAGATCAGGGTTCTATTCCTAGCTCGGCCACTGACACTCATGACATGACTTTGAGGAAATCATAACATCGAGGTGCCTCAGTTTGCCATCCTTAAAATGGGAATATTGGTACTTACCCGTCATTGTAAAGTGCTTCGAGATCTACAGACGAAGAAGGTTATTAAAGTGATTATGAGGATAAAATGCTTGCGGTGCATGCGGAGTTCAACAATAAGGTGAAAGTAGAACAGCAGTTTGTGATATACAGATATTAGTCCAACAGAAAATGAAGTCATTCACTGCCAAGTCATATCTCATAGGCCAGAAATAAAACCAAACCCAGCTGTCAGATGATAAACCGCTTCCAAACACTGACCTGGGCTGGATTAAACCCTGTGATCTAGAGGTGAAAAGTTCCATCTCTCTAAGAGAAATTTAAATCAGACTTACATAAAAATAGTACGAGGAGAAAATTTCCCAGAAGCTGAATATATTTTTTCAGAGTGAAGTGGAATGCAGGATCAACGTCCACATTTCATCCATAACACTGAAGGACAAATTAATTAGGACACAAACCAAAACTAACCAGTTTCACAAGTAAAGAAACAGGACTCGAAACCCACTCGGATGAGACTCACATACTCATTCGTGATCACCACAAGCTATTCCAAGAACTTATATAATTCAGCGTTCAAATGGCTGAAGCAGAAGGCTAACAGAAGGGGCAAAGGAAATGCCAAGGGTGCATTCTCAAGAAGGCTGTTCAGCCATTAGAAAGGGTTAACATACAAACTCTCTTGGGGATTAAAATTCTAGGAGGTGCTCACAGTAACAATATATTGCTAAACACCACCTGTGCCAACTCTGTTTAGAGTTGTAATACACAACATGAAGGTTGCTTTTCATGAGGTACTCACACCTACCTCTTCCATCTTGTGATCTCATGATCATATTTAACTTATGAGAAATAGGCCCCTGGAGTTTTACATTTTTTCTAATAAGGGATTTTTTCCTAACATGTATTTTTGAGTTAAACAAAGATACTAATAACGTTTCAGAATGATTCAAAATCTTAGGGGAGTCCAATTTATATGGGTTAACTCCAACTAGGTTTTCAAAAATCATAGTTATGTTCCTAACTAGCCTGCATTATATATAATTCTAGAGCTACTAAATTTCATTTGTCCTGCAGGAAAAGGGTGGGTTTGGTTTTTTAAACAGGAACTCCTTTGTGTTCAACAGAAATCCTCGTGCAAGGATGCGGGAGAGAAATTGAAGGCTCCATGAGTATATTCTGACTGGCTTGCTGCAGGCAGGACTGTATGCTTTTATTGTATATCCATTTTGTATTCCCAAACAACCTCTCTCAGGGACTGCCTCTGCCCTATCTATCTATCAGAGATGGTGCAAACAGCTGAGGCAGTCCCACTTAGTCATCCCTAAGGTTGAAATCATGTCAACTGGAAGCATGTGCTCAGTGAAGGGACCTGGTTCTGAAACCTGTCTCCTTTGGTGTTCCATCACAGTCCATATCAGGCCACTTTTTAAGCACAGTGCTACATGCCTTAAGTGTTTGGCCTCTCGGGTGTGGTTTCTCAAGTTGGATGAGTTTTGTCTGTTGATGGGTGAGGGCAGCATTAGTTTATTACCTGGTTTCTAAGTACTGGGGTCTGCCTTTAATTATGTAATAAAAACATTGTGTGTACGGCTCTTTGGTAACAAAGTAGGATATAAAAGCAAAGTATCGGATACTACAGTTATGGATACAGAACATATTTTCATAATAATATATTGGGGCATCTACGCTTTGCCCGAGAGGCTGCACTGGCAACTTGCTACACTTGTTTTGTATAAAATAATACAGATGGCAGCTACCTAATACACAAGTGCTGCCTGCAAACGTTCATGGTAACCTGGTCCAGTGGTTGAAGCAAAGGAGTGAGAACCAGGACATCGGGATTCTATTCCCAGCTTCACTACCGACTCATTGTGGTCTTTGGTACGTCACTCTGCAGTCAGTCCCTTTCTGTAGAACGGAGCTTTGTACAGGATCTTGAAATGCACCGATCAGAACAGTGCTCTTCTACAAATTCTATGCACACTACGTCAGGTTCAAACATAACATGCTCTGGAATGACTACTGCATCCCAGGACCTGCACTTCAGAATGTTGTGGGCTGCATCTCATCTATATCAATACACTAACTCCAAGTAATCACTCCTGTTGAGAATCAGACCCTTTTCTCTCTGTCCACATAGCTAAAATTCTTGTGCAGGCCTCATATCCCAGTCTCTGTGGTTTCCCCAACACCCATATCACCCTCAACCCTCCCATCTCCAGCCCATACAAAATGCAGCTGCTAAGATCATCTTCCTCACTCACTGTTTCGATCACTCAACTTTTTTGAGTTCTCCATAGGTTCCCCTTTTTCTACCGCATCACTTTCTAACTTCTTGTGGTCACTCTCCTCCCCAACTCTTCATCTATCTTTGTCAGTTCAGATCGGATGCTCTCTGGGGCAAATATTGTAGTTTCCACCGTTAGAAAAATGCTAGCACATTTTGGATGCAAATGCAAATTAAATAATACTTTGTATTTATGAAATGCTAACTAAGGCTACTGGGAATTATTTCCTCTGAAATATACAAATTTGACTTGTCAGTTTTTATTATTTGTATCATGATCAAGTCTAGAGGCCTCAACACTGTACATACTACACAAGCAAGAGATGATTTCTGCCTCAAAGACCTTACAGCCTAAATAGACAAGTATTATTATACTCACTTTACAGTTGGGACACTGAGGCAGGCAGAGTGTGACTTGCCCAACATCACACACAAAGTGAGTGACAGAGCCAGGAATTGAACCTAGATCTCTTGAGTCCCAATGTAGGGCCTGAACCACAACTCCACCCTTCTGTTATTTATTTTTAATGATGTCCTCGTAGCAAAAACAAATAACAAAAAAGATTATTTGATTGTGATAACTGTTTCTTGTTCCTAAAAAATTGGTTTTGTACAGTGGACTCACCAGAGCACTAGGAAAGGGACGCTTCTCAATCCAACACCAGTACCATCCAGTTACATAGCTTCTAATCCTGCTATTTCAGGAAATTACATTGGCAGGAAAAAACTGCTGCCAAAGGCAAATTCACAAAGGTAATTATCTGGAGCATCTAATATCCGGCTGTCTGGAAAAAATCTCTCAGACTGACCCATGGCTCATGAGGAAGACCTAGGTCCTTTGGTCTCTGGGCCAACAAGCCAGGAGTACTGTACATCATGATGAGGGCACTCAGCTTTGTCATAGAAAACTCCGGGGGGAGAGGCAGTCACAAAAGAGCCATGGCAAATTCTGATAAGTTTGACATTTTAATAAATATTTGTCGCTTGCCTGCAATTCTGTCCCCCTTCCTGCTCCTCTCCATGCTCCCACTTTGCCCCTGCCCTTTCTTTCTGCCAGGTCTTTTCCCAGACTCACTGGCAGGTTCCAGTTCAGAGATGATGATGATAACTCAGAGATATTTCCCTAGACTGCACTGCTCCTTGGGCCACGTCCCCCAAGCAGATGATTTGGAAGAAAATTTCCCTCCCACATGCCAAAGAGGCAGCAAAAACCAACACCAGGAGAAGGCAGGCAGAAAGAATCGCTACTCTAGTGTGTTCAATGCATACCTGCTCACAACCCTGGAGATTGCTGTTCACACAAGCCCCTAATAACTGGTTTTCCCCTTTCTCTCACAGATGGGTGCGTTCATCCTCTGTGGCTGTCATTTTTTGTAATGTCCCTTGCAAAAAAGTATATAGCAGCACCTGGAAACGATGGGATTTGGACAGTGCTTAATTTGTAATGAAAGAGGTGCCGGGGTTCAACAATTAGGTGCCGAGACTCAAGCAATTTTTTTCTTTCATAACTGACACAGCAAGCCCAGAGATGCCTACGAGAGTTCTGTGACTCCCTCTTGGGTCGGGACCCCCAGTTTGAGAAATGCTGCCCTAGTACCTATAACCACTTGGTTCAGGGGCAAATTTTCAGTGCTTATCACAACAGATTTAATACGTGACCCTCTCCGTTATTGTTAATGGGGATTTGGCATCTCATTCACCGCATGCAATGCTGAAAACCTACCCTGGAAGGGGGTAAAGCTGCAACTATGTTAAAGGAGTTTCAAACAACAAGATGGGAAATTCAGCAGGAACTATTATTAGCTCCTGTTTATACTGTCATTTTTCTTATCAGTAGAAGATTATTTATACAGCTCCCAACCCAAGAGCTTCTTGTTTATCTTATTACAGAAACCATTAAAGAAAGTTGCTATAAAAAGCACGTTCTGTATTTAGTACAAGCGCTAGTAAATGTTCTGCTGGGTTTTGCTCCTTATCAATCTTTATTTCCTAGTCACCATTTCATAATTTCCTTTGCCATTTTTCACTCTGTTCTCTTCTGACACTACAGAGAACTTCACTGTGGGCCTTCCTCATTTACTACTCCATGTCAGTTTTATTATTTGATCACTTCATAAATTTATGGTCATTAAAAAACAAAACAAAACTAAGTTGAGGGAATATGGTTCAGATTGAAAGGCCTACATTGTACTACCTCAACAACAGAATTCAACATTCAGCTACAATTATATATTTTTTCTCTCCCTTCCTTTTCCCACCATCCCCCTCACCAGCGATGGAGAAATAAAAGGAAAAAGTCATTGCGTGCTACTGCAGATGCATGGTAAACAGTGTATTTTTTTTGGTATGGTGCCTTTCGTACGAACTCTATTCCAAAACACTTCACAAAAATTAAACAGGATCCCAACAAGGGCAGTTGGGACCAAGGGTCAGAGCAAACGTGAGGCTGGGAGAAGTGGAGGAATTTGCAGTCAGGTTCCATGGCAGGGTCAACACCGAAGGTTGGAGTCCAAGCGAAGTTTCAGGGTATGGGTGAGGAGACAAAGTCCAAGGCAAGTCAAGGTCAGAGCAAGGAGCAGAAATTATTATGGCAATTGCAGAAGATCCACACTGTTGCCTGGATACTTCCTGGAACGCCCCTTGGGTCTGTATACGGTGGGGAGCCAGTGAGGAACGATGAGGCTGCTGCTTGTCAGACCCCTGGAGACGGGGCTGCCCATGGTCTGTGTCCACAGCAGGATGTTGGGCCATAGAACACAAGCTGGTTACAGCTGCTGCTGAGTAGCATCGTGGAGATGTCAGCAGCACGGCAGCTCTACAGACCTGGGTTCTAGACCTACGGGGGGTGGGGTTACAAATAGCTGCAGTGGAGGTAAGATTAGGCAAGGGAAAAGGAGGTTTTCAGAGGAGATTTTAAATGGGATGGAGGGAGACAGGAAAATAGTCCCCAATGGCAGAAGATTGAGCAGAGAAGGCTCTCGCATCAAGAACCGTAAAATTATGTGACGAGATGGGGAAGAAAAAAAGAGGGCCTATTGCTGGCGGATAGAAGGAGATAAAGAGTCATAACCTCAGCTGGTGCAAATCAATTTACACCAGCTATGCTGAGTTACATGAGCATAAGCCAAGTTACTAGGTCAAGATCTGTGATTTGAAATTGACACATCTACCACACAGCTAACAGTCACTCACTCACGTGCTCATCCCTAACAACTCACTTGTAGAATACCCTTTTTAGGAGAGACAGGGGGAGTTAAAAGTTTACACCTGGAATCCTGAAGCAATGTCCTTCAATAGAGCTGCACTGTCCACATTAGCATTTTCTTTAAAGGCCTAACCGACTGGCAATGTCCGCAGGTAAAGCTGTAGGGGAGGGGTTCATACATGAGGTAGTCTTCTTTGGTCAAACTGGGATTTATAACAAGAGGGCCAGAAATATGCCTAATTTTGGAAAGATCCCAGGACTGCGTCTTGTTTCTTTTCCTTTCCTCGCAGCATCTGCCTTTGTAAACTGAGAGTGGGTGCACCGGAAGAGGTGGCACACTGCCCAAACATTTGTTCACTCTCTCTTCACATGGGGGAGAGATGGAAAAGAGCTAGAACACCATCTAGACCATTTCCCCATCAGTGCAGGATCATTTCCTACAAGGCAATTTTTTAGAACTTCTCCTCGCACAATAGTTTGGCACTTCTAGTCACATTTTCTTTCTTAATTATCTGACTATTTCAAGACGTCTAGTCAGGCATGGTTCTAAAAATAAATAAATAAATAAAGGTCAGGAAGAGTAAGTTGTATGTTTTGTCTCCAGTTGTACTTCTGATTCTGCTACCAACTCTTTGTATGGCCTTGGCCAAGCCACTTAAACCTCTCTGCAAAGAATTAATCCACATTTGAACAGTGCTTTGCAAACAGAGTGTTGTGTAGAGGTCTAAATAGTTTTATGGAGGTCTGCTCACTCATCCCTAATGCCAATGGAGAAAAAGAGGGAAAGAGGAAGAAATATGGTACTTTCCCCTTTGAAACAAGGTTAGAGTTAATATGGCCACTCCCTCACCCCTCAATCTGCCTTTTATTATTATTAGCGACTCAAGGACAAGTGGACAAACTCTCACAATCAGTCTGCTAAGTGCACTGATGCCAGCCATGGATACATTCCCAGATATATATTTGTGTATATACATTTGCCACATGTAATAGCGTAACTTCAGAATTAAAGAAAACGGTTTTAGTTTTAAGATAGGAACTCTGCGCTTATTGCAATGCTGTAAAATAAAATTTGCTAGAAAAAGCCACACACAAAAAGTGATTCACTTGGGAAGTTCCATGATGTGCGGGACAATGGGTCTTAAATCAAAGGCATACATTATCATGACTAAGCTGACAGATCTGCACTGCAATGCAGAAAGCCAAGCAATATTCCAACATCTGCACTAGCACACACAGGCAGCTAGACACGGGACCCAAAATGAATAAAAGGCTCTTCAAGCTCTTACCTGTTACCTGTGCAACAACTGCTTGGGAAATCCTCCGATTGGCAAGAAAGGCTTTGATTTCCTCCTTTATCACGCTGCTGTCCCTCCTACCAAAACAAAACAACAACAAAACGAGAGAGACAGACAGGCCAAAGGGCACTCTGAAGACGTAAAATAGTTTTGTTTCCTTTGCTTAAGGGTGGGGGCCTCTGCCTTGGGGAGGGGGGGGGCGGGGAAAACAGGCAAAATAGCTCACCAGTGGACACTTCTTTTAATGAGTGTCATGTTTGATCAAAGCATCCCAGCAGGCGGATGGATGACTCATAGCCTATATAATTCATAGTAGGTGTAGGGCTGCCATATGGAATGTACAAAGTTTCATTACACAGGGATGAATAAATCTCTCACACCAGCATTAAAACTCAGTCATAAAATGAAGCACAAAACATAAAAGATAGCAGGGTCTGCATGGTTGGCTCCACAAATGAGGATATCGACAAGCCCTCTCAAACAACAGGGCTGAAGGAAGGAAAAGAGATTTTGCAACCTCCACCCCAACAACCTCCCTCGCCCCCAACAGCATGGTGGGTGGGTGCACTGAATGAAGGAATACCCGTCAGCGTTATATCCCTCCTTTTTCTGGAAGGATTATTTTTAAAAAGTGTGGAGAGACGGTACAGAAGGGACTGAATAATTATGCTAAAAGAAAAAGAGTTTACCGGTTTCATAGGGGCTGTAATGTGCAGCAAGCTTAAACTGCAGTAAACAAATGCCTGTGAAATTCAGAATCGGTTTTGTTTGGCTTTTAAAAATCAGGCAGGGTTTATTCCTGGGTAACGTATTTTTTCTTTGGCTTTTTCTGAGCAGGGTTCGGTGATCAAAACTGTAATGTGAACAGCCTAGACTTGGAAAGTGAGAGTAAAACACAAACACTGAGGGTTCATCATCTCTTCTACGCCCAACCCTCACCCTCCACACAAGAAAACATGGGACATTCCAACTTGAACAAGCACCAAACACTATCTGGAGCATCATGCTCGTGAACCCCCAATCTGACAACAGGTAGATTTCAGCAAAAGGAGCGCCTGCCTACTGCTACACTCAACTCTTTCAGATCCCCCACGACGCTGAGCCCAAGAGCACGACTAACCACCTCCTTTGTGTTCTTCCCACTCATTTCTGAGCCTCCTTGACCTGCCACCACACCTTCGCTCGGTCCCTCCTTAAAACTCATGTCCTCCAGGGGTCTGCGACCCCCAGTCCAATATTTGCCAAGTATACATGAGAAAACATACCACTCCAAAACAACCAATAAATCATAAAATACAAAAAAACACAACAGAATTTAAGACACATGCTAAATTTCCCCACTCATTCTGCCTCTTGCTGGAGCCATGTTAAGATCATGGCTACTTAATTTTGGAGTAACAACTCCCCTAACCTTTCCCGTATTGCTAAATGGATGGGGTATCCTGCCTAACAAGGAAGAAGCCCCTCATAGGGAAAAAAGATGACCACTGATCTTGACTGTAAGCTCTCCATAGAGGAGACATGCCTTTTCATAATTGTTTTTATTTCAGTGCTGCCATTCTTGGCCCTACATAAACACACAAATAGAGGCAGTCCTGCCCCCAAGGAGCTTACTATCCAAAAGGCAGATAAGACATGATATATTGCAAGTTCTTAAGGAAGGCATTAACAGAGCCATTTCCCTCTTCTCCCATACAACATTGGGAAAGAGAAGGCTTTGGACTGACATGAGCCAGTGGTGGAGAATCTCACGGGAGAGGAAGGCTGTTTCCAAGGGATTTGAATGTGGTGAGGATGGAAACAGTGTACTGAGATGAGAAAGTCAATCCAGGCTTTGGAAAAAACAGACTGAAGAGGGATCTGTGATGTAGCCCAGGACAAATGTGCATAAAGCTTTGAAGGGGAGGGTGGCCAATGGAGGATAAACAAGGGGATAATTATCTAAGGCACCCCTCACACTATTGACAATACATATAACCATTAAAGTACCTCCCCTGCCCCTGAGATGCAGTTCTCCTCTTAAAGGGTTCGTCAGGCTGATTTACTGAACCTTCTACAAGTTTTACTAACCTCATCAATTCTTCTACTTTGTCATCTACGTCCAAGTCCTCTTCAGAGGCTTCAAAACTGTACGACCTTTGAGCCAAGCTGTTTGCAAGTGGATAGCGAGTGGGCGACATCTTCCCATTGAACGCTGACAACCTCTCGTTACTCTCCCTCCCATTCTGATTAGTAGTGCAAGGCTGTGGGGAGGTGTCGTAACTGTTGCTAGGTGACGGGGACATCCCAGAATGCTGAGTCTGTGTAGAAGCTGTGGCTGTAGAGGAAGATGCTGGGACATTGTTGGTACTGTTGCCATAGGAACCGCCTCCATAGCTAGACCTTCTTCCAAACTTGTCACTATGTTCTTGATCGAGACGGTCCAAGGTTTCCAAGGCGTGGAGGATTTCGTGTCTGGTCATTCCAGTACGTCTCAGGCGCTGAAGCAGATCTATCTGCTCTATAGTAAATCTGGGTTCATCTGTGTAGTGAGACATGGTTTCCAGCAGCCTAAAAATAAGGTGAAATGTAAAGGCAAACAGTTTAGTGCAAAAGCTATCTATGGGACACGAACAGCGCCTCAGGGATGGCACTTAACAGAAGACAATAGGCCTGATTCTGGTCTCATCTATACCAGTGTAAATCATGTAAGTGAGAAGGCAAGCAGGCCCAATGAGTGGAATCCCTCACCCATTGAACTCGACAGCAAAGCTCCCATTAACTTCAGGTTGACTGATTGCTTCTGGTAAAGGATAACTTTGCACAGTTTTCAGAGAATACCTCACTCTCTTACTTCAAATCCCGCCCAACATACCTCTGGATTATTGTCCCGCCCCCAGCTCCCTTTTCTGCTCTCTTATCTTCAATAAACATGCCTTATGGAATGTCGACAGTTGCTCCATAATTAAGGCTGCAATTGAGATTCTATTAGAGGCCCAATTTTGCCCAACCGCCAAATCCCCCAGCAAAGTCCCATTGGTAGAGCCCTGCATGGATACAAAATGTATATCCACATCTGAGCCGCAAACATGGTCCGTGGATATAAAGCGGATATCCGTAGATTTGCAGCGTTTTACCCACTGGCCTCGAAACTCGCAGGTTAGCGCTGGGCCAGAGGTACAATTTTTCTAGAAATATTCAGTGATTCAGAAAAGGATTCACGAGTTATGATTCCTAACATCAGAAGTGTGACGAGTTCAAGTAGTCTTAACTTTCTTGAAGGAAGCTAAAACCCAGTTTCTTGAACTTCCCTAATTGAAATCTAGTGCCCCCCAGCACCAATGTTTAGTTGATTGAAGTTCGATTTCAGAAGTTGTTAACTTTTGAATCTGGAATGTTGCCATGGATCACCAGACTTGACAAGCAGAGTGCAGCATGTCAAATTACTGTTAGAGACCTGAGCTCTTTCATTTAAAGGAATAAGGCCCCAGCCTTGTTCTTTGCAAAGGCAGATGTCATGTGTAATCACTAGGGAGGCTTGTCAAAAAAACTTTTTTCCTCCTAAACTTTGAAAAATGGTGGATAATATCCTAAGGCTTGCTGGGTACTCCCCCTTCCTGGCAGGCCTCAGCAGATCCATGGGAAATGCCATACGACCCCTTAAACTTTCTCCCCTCAAGTCCCCTCACAACAGATCTTCTAAAGTCTACAGGAAGCAGGGGCCCTTCTTTCAGCCATCGGAAGGTGGTGGCTGGAGGTCAGAGAGCAGCATGAGAGTGGGGCAAAAATTATGAGGCATTCTCCCCTTCCTGTGGTCTTACAGAGTCGGGCGGAGGGGAGAAGCAATGGGAAACTCTCTGAAGCTCATTGGAGACATCCTGGAATTCCAAGCATGGCAGTGGTGGGAGAGAGAGCTGACAACATACTAAGTGTGTATGGGGAACCCTAAGGAGCATATTAAAACCAGTGGGGGAATGGAGCCCCGATGAGAATCCCAAACCTTTCCAGGAGTGGGGCTGGCTGCCCCAACAACCGTGCTCCCTCAATGAACTCGGTGTTTATGTCTTTCCCTGGGCCAAAGGCACACAGAAGCTGCAGTGACCTGGCAGTTCCCAGCCCTGACTACTACTGGGGTTGGTGTGGGTAAAGGGGGGTCTTTTCCGGGCAGTGACACCCCAAGCTGGAGTTCTGTGACCTGGGGGAGAGAGATGGGCCACGCTAGAGCCACGCTGCCATACCATGATGCTGATACAGGGTGCATGGGTCCCTTTAAAAAGGGTTTTGCCCTTGTAGATGGAATCCCAGGGTAGAGAGGGAGGGACACTGACGCAGAACCTCCCGCCTCCAGTCCTGCACTGCTCCTCACAACGGTAGAAGTGGCTATGGCTGCGTTCTTAAAAATGATTAAATGAACAAATGTGCATTTTTCTTCTGAAGTCCGCAAGTGTGTATGTCCTCACAACTGCTCCGCATTGCTGCTGCCACCAGAGGACGGGTGGGTGGCTAGGGGGAGGAGGATTCATGGGGACTCATGCCCCCTCCAGGTGACCCTAGATGAGAGGGTGGGATCAGGCTGGAGTCACGCTCCCAAAGTTGCTCTCCTGCTGCCACTGGCAGTGTATCACTCCCATGAGAGCCTGACTTTTATGGCTGATTAGTATTAATTTCTCCAATAAGGATTATTTTAATTTTTTTAAAAACTGCTCCCAACTTAGTCCACTATAAGCAGAGTGTAACAGTCAGTGTAGAAATCTAATCACTGAATGGAATTACAAACAATTAAGAGATGGAAGCCAGCTCTCAGTCCTGAGGGACAATGAAATGATATATAATGTAGGGAATATCCTTCTCTGAATTCCATTCCATTTGTTTGTCTTTCTATTACCAAGGTGCCCTGAACTGTACACAGTGTTCTAGTGGTTGTCCAGTCAGTTGTCTATACTGCAAAACAAAGGTGGGTTACCTCAGGTTTGCTAAATTCGAGTGAAAAATAGCAGTGAAAACATAGCAACTCCAGTTTTAACTTGGGTTAGCAACTTGAATTCAACCCCAAGCTTTAACTCAAGCTGCTAACCTAAGCTGCCCTATCTTCACTGCTATTTTAACTGGAGTCAGCTTCTGAAGGTTAGCGAACCCATCTTAGGAACACGCACTAAGGCTATGTCTACACTGAAACCGCTACAGTGGCGCAGCTGTGCGGCTCTAGCACTTCAGTACAGACACTACAGTAAATGGGAGGTTTCTCCTGTCACTATAGTTAATCCACCTCCCTGAGACACAGTAGCTTAGTTGACAAAATAATTCTTCTGTTGACCTAACCTTATCTACACTGGGGGTTAGGTCGGCTTAACTACGTCACTCAAGGGGATGGATTTTTCACACCCCTGAGTGACAGAGCTGAGTTGATCTAAGTTTTTCATGTAGACCTGGCCTAAGTATTGTATCATGTACCTACCAACCCTTGGGTTCACAGCACTTTCCAGTTTAATAACGTCTACAGTTTTAGGCCAGGATCCTAAAATGCATTACACCCAAACAGAGCCCCAGTGACTTCATGGGCTCTGGCAGGACTGGGGCCTTAATGTGCTCTTTAAGTTCTCTTCCAGAGGTTAAAGGGTGGCTATGACTCCAAAACATCGTTTTAAAATATGTGGCGCTTCTCCATAGTAAATCCTCATTTGAGAGAATTTAATTCATAACCTTTTATTTATTTTTAGATTGTATTTTCCTCTTTTTAGTCTGACCTCCAATTTCTGACTGAAGGCAGGGAGGGTTGTTCTAATGCAAAGAAAGGGAGCAGATTCAAATTAGACACTTAGGGTACATCTACCTTTTGTTGGGAGGTATGATTCCTAGCTTGAGCAGAGAGGTACCTATGGTGGCTCTGCTCGAGGCAGCATGCTAAAAATAGCAGGGTAGCATGGGTGATAGGTTGGGCTAGCCACATGAGTACATGCCCACCGGGCCCCTCTCTGACACTGCCTGTGCTACCTCAACTACAGTGATATTTTTAGCATGCTAGATCAAGCAGAACTAGCCTGGGTGAACTGAGGGTATGTCTACACCTTGCTGCTCCAGCAGGAATTCCAGCTTGAAGAGATGTACTCGCACTAACTTTGACTGAGCTAGCCCGGTGAAACTAGAAGTGTAGCTGCAGTCACACAAGCAGTGGGAGGAGCTAGACACCCTAAGTACAATCCCTTCTGAGATGCTAGGAATATACTCAGCACGGCCAGCCCCTCCCGCTACACTTCTGTTTTGAGCGCCCTCGCTCAATCAGAGCTAGTGTGGGTACGTTTCCTCGAGCTGGAATTTACATCTTCCAGCTCCAATGTAGACACACCCGAAGACTGGCACTATGCCAGGCAAGAGAAACATTCGCCACAGCCTGCAAGGAGCCAATCAGCTTTTGGTTTATCCAGTTTTCCTTTCCCAGCTCTCCATCACTTCTCAAAAAGGACCGTCAACAATTCTGCAAGTTTGTTAGTTAGTTGTCTTAAGCTCATTCTCACATGCTTTAAATTGTGAGTCAGACACCTAAAAACCACGAGCCAAGATTATTATTATTATTTTTTTTTAAATAATACACATGAAAGACTTATTTGCTTTGTGGATTTTGAATGGCAGGTCACATTTTCAAGATCTTCTACTCAACCATGAGGACTACAAACTTGATTTTGTTTTTAAATGAAAGATGAGCTTCTCACATATCCAAATGCAAGAGCTGGGACTTCAAGAAAAATACCACATAACGTGAGACTGACAATAAAATTCACAAGGGTTGGCAACACTAGAACACATTCAATGTTATCAAGCATCCATGGCATTTTAAAGAATAACTATACTGAGTTTTTAATATAGTCGTTTTAACAATGTCTTAGTTACTTTTAGTTCTTCATACCTCCTTTTCACTTTCCTTGTTAAAGACCAATTTACAAAGCAGTGAAGCAAACCAGCCACTTTAGAATAATTAATTTCATCCACCTCATTAATTAATGGACAATCTCTAGTACTTTATCCCCACATATGTTTGTATGAGCCTCTTATTCTCCTTAACCCCTTTGGCTAACATTAATTCAATTTGCTTTGTTTAGTGCCCTCTTTTTCCTGCAAGATTTAACCAACTGTGAAAGGATCAGCAAGCAAAACTAAGGTGGGGGGGAGGATGGGGGAGAAAGGACTGCAGGTACCCTGCACGAGTTATGGCTATGATGGGCTATGGCTGTCAAACTTTACTGCCTATATAATGAAATATCTGCAACCGTTGCAGATCTTCTGTTGTAATCATGTACTGTATCCTCTGACCAGTTACCAAAAGCCAGCCTGATGTAAAATACTAGTGAAACATGGTGTATGTCAGTTTTGAACCAAACCATTTAAAACCACAGAACCTATTTTGGCCATGTTTACTTAGATTCCAAATAGAAAAAAATCTAAAATGCCAAGTATATTTGTATTTCCTATGTGGAGGCCCAATCCTCAGCTGATGCAAGGCGGCAGAGCTCCATTGGTGGGCCCATGGTATCTAAATATTTATAATGCACCTAAGATAGACAAGGTGAATGAGATAA